GCACTTTTCTAATAAAGATTAGACTTTATTGGTGTTACAATGACTTCCACCAATACTCTGTACCCAATAGATACTTTAAAACTGAGCCCAATATCCTGGCTAATAAAAACAAAACAAAACAGTTGATTCCCACAAGGAAGTTAAAACACAAGTTGGAGGGTATGGAAGGAGCAAGTAGAGGAGTCTAAGAATGTCAAAACCTTGTTGGAAAGCATTGATTTAGGGAACAATATTCTATTAAAGGCTCTGAACCATGCAAGAGTGGTGTTACAACCATAGAAACTCCGTAATACTTGATTTTTTACTGTTAAGTCTTCTCCTGACAAAAACCTCTCCTATGTCCCTACATGATTTATAATCCTTAGCAACACATTTGCTGTTACAAAATAATGACTATTTTGTTTATTTCCTGGATATTTTCAGAATCTATGAGAAAGTAAATTAAAAGATTATACAGGATGGCGCATACGGTCAATTGGAGGAATCCATATGGAGCTTTTCTACACACAAAGATTTCTCTTTTTTTAATTAATTTTATTGAATCACTGTGAGATAGTTATATGCTTTCATGTTTGGGTTACAATCACACAATGATCAAACACCCTTCCCTCCACCAGTGCACATTCCCCACCACCAATGTCCCCAGTAAAACCCCCCTTTCCCACCCTCCCTCTGCCTCCATGGCAGATATGATTCCCCATAATCTCTCTCTACTTTTGCGCATTAACACAAAGATTTCTTAAGAGAGTGATTTGCTAATTTATTAACTACATGTCTTGCTTTTTTATTATGTCTATGAACATGGATGTTGGTGGCAGTAGTTGTTTGAAAAATTTGCTTCCTCTCTGTTCATCTTGTTTCAGCTTCTTCATTAATAAATTGGATAGTACAGCTTACCTAATCATACTGTTATGAAAGTAAAGAATAAAGTATATAAAATGTTTTCAGAGAAGGACTGTGTAATCATAGTCATTAGAAAACTGTTCAATGTCAGTGTAAGATTGTTGGATCTAAAAGCCTTAAATTATTTCTGTATCATCAACAATAATATTTATTTTAATTATTACCTATATTAATCATAAAATAATGACTTGCATTTGTATAGTGCTTACTTTTTTATTTGATAGCAACTTTATCCACAAATTATCCTTCAAAGTAAGCAAAATCTGTCATGCTAATTTAAAAATAAAGAAATTCCAATTAAATGATGGAGTGAAAATAATTTCACATTTATGGAAACACAGTTTTGTTTTTTCATATCCAAGTCAGAGTCAACATTTTAGCTCTGCCTTCTTCCTCAGCTATAGAATCCCATTCCTCATACAAGTCTAATATTGATTCGCTCCAATAATATCAAAAGGTGCTGCCATCTTCAGCAAACTCAAAACTACCCTTCATTCTCTCAGTTTGTATGCCTTCTGTCAGAGGGGTGATGCTGTTTCAAAAGAAAAAGTGAACGAGATATTGATCATCCAACCACAATTTGACCTTCAAGGAGTTCAAGCACATTATAAGTCATCAAGTCACAATTATCAGCTCCCACACTCCACCTTGTTATAAAAATATGAGGGAATATGAGTAGTTTCTATATTTATCTTGCTTAAGCATAAGTAATGTGACATAAAATGTGATTTATAGATTCTATCTGCATATATATGATATATTTCTATCTATATAGATATGATATGTACAACTAGTCACATGTACATATTTCTAGCTTAATAATAGAGAAGATACAGTATCTATTGCAAACTGATAATGAATAGCATTGTAACTGTATGTCTCATGATGATTCTATTAAAAAAAGATTTTTAAAAGATGTAGCACTGTAGCACTGTCCTCCCATTGTTCATCGATTTGCTCAAGCGGGCACCAGTAACGTCTCCACTGTGAGACTTGTTACTATTTTCGGCATATCAAATACGCCATGGGGAGCTTGCCAGGCTCTGCTGTGCAGGCTGGATACTCTAAGTAGCTTGCTGGGCTCTCTGAGAGGGACAGAGGAATCGAACCCGGGTCAGCCGCATGCAAGGCAAACACCCTACCCGCTATGCTATCACTCCAGCCCATTTTTAAAGATAGAGTAGATAATCATAAAATGCAAATTCAGTTCAATAATACACTTTTGCAAGTGTATAAAGGTAAAGGTAAAGGTAAAGGCCCTCCCGTTGATCGTCGATTTGCTCGAGCGGGCCCAGTAACGTCTCCATTGGAGACTTTGTTGTTACTGTGTCTGGCATATCGAATACTCTCGGTAGCTTGCCGGGCTCTCCGAGAGGGGCGGAGGAATCGAGTGTATAAATACATGTGTTTAAATATGTGCATTAACAGACACATTTATGCATTATTTTAATTAAAATATTCTTCTATGAAATGAAGATAATAATAAAAAGCTATTTTATTAAGACATTTTGAAGATTAACTAAATTAATGTATGCTACACACTTAAAATAGTCCCTAATACATACAACATACTCAATAAGTATTGTCTGTCATTGTAACTATTGTTTATTTTACATATTATAAAATAATTCAACACTGGGAAAACATTACTAACTAGAAACTGTCTTAAATAGTTCATTTCCTCAATTTAGAAATTTTAAAATATTTATCAGTATCTATTTGTGGATACAACTTTCAAAAATATTTATTTTGCTGAGGGCTAGAGCGATAGCACAGCGGTAGGGCGTTTGCCTTGCACGCAGCCAACATGGCCAACCCGAGTTCGATTCCTCCGCCCCTCTCAGAGAGCCCGGCAAGCTACCGAGAATATCTCGCCCGCACGGCAGAGCCTGGCAAGCTACCCGTGACGTATTCGATATACCAAACACAGTAACAACAAAGTCTCCAATGGAGACGTTACTGGGCCCACTCGAGCAAATCGATGAACAACGGGAGGGCCTTTACCTTTGCCTTTATTTTGCTGAAGTGACATATTATCTTTCTTAGAAAACACTTATTATGTAAACGTACCATCAATCAAATCACATAACCCTAAAAAAAAGAGCAAATTATACTTTAGAACATATGTAAGAGTTATTTTGTTTCAGGTAAATGTGTTTTATTTCTCAGTGATAATATTCAATGCAATCACATGTTGCTTATAATCTAGAATTGATCACACTAAGCAATAATTTTCAGACTTGAAAGAAGACTTATTTAGGCAAAGTCCTTTTCACAGGGTTGGGAAGTACTCCCAGTTGTGTTCCCCGGCTCTGCACTCAGTGAATCATTCCTGGAGGGTGCAGGTCTTGAGCCCGTGGTTGGCCTGAACATCCTATCCCTGTACTATCTCTCCAGCCCACAAACTCATAATTAAATACCAAATTTAAATATCCCAGAATCAAAATCTTCCACAAAATACATGACTTTGCCCACATACTTTGCAAACAAATAGCAAGAAGTTTAAGTTCCTGTTGTGATGTCAACTCTGGTGAAAAGATGCAATTAAGCCTCCAGGAAACCATAGCAGTCATCACCAATTACTTGTACATTCTCTTAAAACAGACCACATTGATAAAATAAATAAAAGTAAGTAATGTTCATCATAAAACAATATTAATCTGGAACAAAGAAAGTTCCAAAGTTTAGTGATACTTTTTCCTCTCAAGTGCATCAATCTGGACATAGAAACAGCCCAAAGGGTTGATGCAAAACTGACTTTGCATGCAGTAAGTCACTTTTGATTCCTGGCACCACTTGGTTCACCAGTACAGAACAGGGAGTACCTCATTTCCCAGTCCTCCAGCACAGCCTGGAATAACCCAAACACTGCTCCCCCTGTGAAAAATAAAAATATAAAGTGCCTTACTTCTAGGTAATGCTAATATCCAGAGAAATTTCATGATTCTCAAAGAACTGTGGATTCTTACATGTTAAGCAGTTACTGGTTATTTTATTCCTATTAGAACTTTTACAAAGGCTAAAATTTGCATTTTACACTCAATGATGTCTTATATGTAGGTGTTCATTAGTATTATAATGTAAGTGATATATATGAATATGCAATATGTATACTACATATAGCATACAATATATGCATTATATGTGATATTAATATATACAGTATATACTATGTAAAATATACTATATGATGTAGATATTAAAAACAGTAAATAATATTATATCATGCATAGATAGTCCATGTACCAAAGTCTGAATCCAAACCTACTGAAAATGTGAAAGAAACTTGTGTGCACAATTAATATTTATATCTATATATTAGCCACTTTGATTTTTTTCTCAGTGTTGAAAAATAGTACATTAAAAAAACTACACTCAAAATCAGTCTGCATTCATATTATTTCAAAAAGCAAGCTTTGAGATATCTAAAATTTAAAAGAATGCCTACAATGACCACTGTGAACAAACATTTTCTAAACCGCGCCAGTACTTTGCTATTACAAATCAGAAATCTTAATATCTCTTTTGCATTAAACTTGGTTCCAAATGTTTGGGGGCCTCAAAGGAGGATCGGGCTTCGGGTTTCTGACATAAAAAACCTTCCTATAGCCTGAAGAATGCCCTTAGGCACATCAGGAGTAATCAAATTTCATGTGACCGATTAAATTACGTTCAATTATGTTTTCCAAACCTCTGTTTAGAAATTCAAAAGGCCCTTAGAAAACATGCTTTAAACCAAAGCCCGGGTTGGCAAGTGAAACCGTCTACCTGCAAGCGCCGAACAAAGAGGGGTGCTCCCACTCCCTGGACGGGCATCGCGACGTGGCACGCGATGTACCCCATCCCCATTGTGCGGCGCAAATTCTTCCTGACACTGGGAGACACCGCAGAACAAAAATACTATTAGAAATGCTTCAAAAGGAACATTTTTTGGCCGCGATGGAGACTTTTGACATTATTTATTAGGTTCAAAACTGCTGCACAAAAGCCTAACAATGGGTCTGTGGAAACCAGTCCATCTGAGGCCCTTTCTGTTATTCTGGGCCCGCATTGATTTGAGGATGGGCCGCGCTCGCCGAACAATCCCCTCGCAGCGGTCAATGCAAGTGCGCATTCACGGTGCGCCGAGGAGGGGCCTGTGAACAAACCGTATGGAAACGCTGGGGTGGCTGGCGCGCGGGGGGAGGCGGGGCGGACCTTGATTAACCTCTTGGAAGGGGCGTCGGGTGGGAGCCTCCCTTCAGCCGCCAAAGGGACGCTCCTGCCAGATTGTCGTGGAGGGAGGCGTCTGCCCTGCGGCCCCTTTTCCACCCGAGATGAGGATGCTTGAGGAGCATCCCCGGGGCCATGGCAACTGCGCCTCTTCCGAGGGGAGGTCCGAGCTTTGGAAGCTGCTTCTCCAGGGCGCCTTCTGGGGCGAGCATCCTCTCCTCCAGCGGCTCCCAGACGCAGACGCTCTCTGAGTCAAGCTGCCGGAACCGGCTTCTCCAGCGAAGAAGTTTGTGCTAGGAACGCAAAGGACTGGAGAGGCACTGAAGTGTGTCCAATTTACCTGCTCCCCGGGGATTTTTTTCTTTTTTCTTTTTCTAAATCTTTCTTAGGCAGAGACAGAGACAGAGAGAGAGACAGGATCTGAAAGAATTGCGCATTTGCTTTGCATGCTCATGCTTGAGATTAGAGCTCAGCATCCAGGGGCAGCTCTCCAGGAGTGAGGAGGCCAGGAGTAGTAGGACCTGAGCACCAAGGGGCGTGCACCCTCAAATCAACGTTACCTAACTGAGCAAAACCCTTGTCATGAGAAATCAACGTTTATAAAACGTGCTTAAAGCTGAAGATCGCCTCTATTATCTTCATGTGCTTCCTCACACATTTTAAAGAGATTAAAAATACCATCGACCCGGGTTCGATACCCATCATACCCACCACTGCATACGTTCTCCACAGCACTTTCAGGATTGTCTCTGAGCACAGGCCCAGGAGTAATCCTTGAACAGTACCAGGTGTGACCCAAAATTATAAACAACAACAATAAAATGATTCTTCTTTGAAGACTAGGAGAAGAAAGAAAATGATTTTTTTAGATTTCTCATATAACTTTAAGGAATTTTAAGAAAAATTGTTTATAAGTTCCAAAAGAGAGGGAAAGGAGAATTGGTGACAAAAATTAAACCTCAAATTCCAAATTTGGGGAACGTTCCTGAGTGAAAAAAGTTTGGAAAACAGAGACATCTCCCATTTAGACTTAACTGGTAATTTAAGAGCCGAGAGGGAATTACTTCATGTGTGATATTAGAAATGCTAAGCTTGTCAAAAATTAAAACAATCAGTGAAGTGATCTGTGTCTATATAACACCTACACACAATAATAATAGACTAAATTTTTTTCCTTCTTTGCCCAGTGATACTACTGTTTCATGAAAATATGAGGTATTTGAATAACAATAGTCAATAATATAAGAAATATATGTATATATACCCCACCTGCATTTATATGCACAGATATCTACCTCATTTCAATGTTTTTCCTTAGAACCTCTGTTGATAGACTATGTAAATTACAGTTTACATTTTCAAAGTGAATCAAGAATACTTTTTATGATTTATACCACTTTCTACAACTTAAGGACTTTGCATCACATATTGGGGTTGGAATAACCTAAAGGATAACACATAAATGCAAAAATATTGCAAAATATTTTATATGTACAATATCATCCAAAAAGTGGGTGTGAGTCTGACCATTGCTAGGAAATTAAATGTAGTTCAGCACCTAGCACTCTTTGACTGGTTTATACTAAGTATCTCAACTACCCACTCAACTTTGTAACAAAGTAGAACAAAGAAAAGGCATTAGGATCTCACTTCTTCCCTGACAGTTAATTCCTCGAAATAAAGGTGGAATGGCATTTCAATATCACCAGATAAATAAACGTTTTCAGAAAACCAAACACATTGTTTTGTGAACTCTATATTAATTTGGATACCCAGCCTTGACCACTGACCTATTCATTGTTTTCAGTAAGCAGTATCAGAAAATTTTAAGAGTGAATATGGATGTGACTTGGAGTTACAGATTATGACCTGGACAGAATACATTATCTCATTCTTGACCAAAGAATAAGAATTCCTTCCCTGAACACAATTCAGTAACTGCAGTTCATTTTATCACCTGCTTCCCTCAAAGAGTAATGGGCTAGAATGCAAGAAGAAAGACTTTGGGGGGTCAGACTCTCATGACTCAAACCCTGCTATATCATTTGGTCTAAGCCTCTTTCTCCTTACCTGAAACATGAAGATTGTATTACTTAATTCACAGAGTTGCAAATGGCATTAAATTATTCACTCATTTATTCATTAACTAACATTGAGGTTTCTGTGGTGTATGATATTGGAGATTCAGAAAGAAATCAAGTAGGCATATACCTGCATGCATATGGTTTATGTTCCAGTTGTGGGCCAGTGGAGTGAGAAGAGAAAATAGATAATAGAAAATAAAGTAAAACTGATTATATTAGCTATTTGTAAATCCTAAGGAGAAAAATCAGGATGCAGACTAGAAAAGACCTATCTACTGAAGCAATGCTTCATGAATAAGCTGAAGATAATAAAAAAGAAAAATAGTTATGTAGGTGACAGAAAAAATACAGAAAGCATCTTATACAGAATCAATACCCAAGGGTTGTAATTGTCATGTTTAGGTTCTTAACATAGATTTTCTCTGACTGGGTTCATAATGAAGGACTTGAATTCTGACACCTGCTCACAGTTAGAGATTCTCTAGGACCTCAGAATCTGAACCAAAAGCTGGCTCCTGATACTACCCAGGTAATTCCAAGGGGGCCACTGGTGAAATTGTGTAAATGAAGAGCCACAGTATGAGAGTCAGGGGGAAAATCCTACAGTAGGGAGCGACAGAAAGGGAAAATGGTGGCTACAGTAAGACAAATTTTGAAAAACACTGAATCAAAACATGGGAAAATAACAGTTCCAATCTCAAAAGTTGCCCTGTGGATCAATATGAAGGTGTTTCTGAGTTTAGCACAGTGCCTTATTGATCCTCCTTACCCCCAAAAAACCATTAACCAGCCAACACCAGCAGCAGTCCCTTATCAAATCTGTTTCCTAGAAATAAAAGAATCTCTGACTCAGTATTTTTGGTAAAAGGTCAACCAGCCTCCACTTTACCTTTTCCAACCCAAATTAATACAGTCTCCTTTGAAAGAAAATTCTTCTTTGAAGTGTGTCAAAATCTGCCTCTCTTCTGTTGGTCAATTTCAACAAATTGTATGAACAGCTTTTCTCAAAACAAACAAATAAGCAAACAAAACCTGGTCAAGAAGATACTTCAGTGTGGTAGAGCACATGCCAAAGTTGTTTTTCTAAACCAAACCTCATTTGTAGAAGTGGGGTGTCAAGCAAATGTCTCCAAGCAGACAAATAGAAATGAGAGAAGAAATCAAGCAGGGGCCCTAAAAATGTATCATCTATCAGAGTCCAGCTCTTTCCAAGATCTTGCTTTTATTTTTTTATTTACATGGATAAAATGAATCCAGTGTAGACACAATTTTCTGCATTTTCAGAAGAAACAAAAATATTGTTTGAGACATAAACTTCTGAGTTTTAAATATTAGTAGTGCTTTTTCATACAGCAAAAGGTACATATATCATTAGTTTGTATGTTTATTAGTTTGTTTCTTGGCCTATGATTAGCCCTATCAAAGTTATGTTGTTATTTATTTTCTTTCATATCTTGTTTATCTCGAACCATGACACTAGAAATATTTAGATTGGGGCTTTGTATCTAAGTTCTAGGTTTAAGAGTTCTAGACATTTTGTCTACCACCAACACCATAGGAATATTAAATTTTTATCTTCCTTTTCATTGGTTGTCCCAACTCATCTTCAAGTTCAGAATTTGAAATGATAGAACATTTTATTAGATTTTCCTGATTTCAGAGATTCATCTAAAATTGTTCATAACAGTAGCTCAAGAGCTCCTAATCCTAAAGAAAATTTAACAACTCTACAATCAATAACCTTTGTTTTCTAAACATTCCTGTCCCTGATCTCCTATTCAAATATCAAGAATAAGATAAAAATATCAAAAGCACCTTATAATCTCCACATTCTAGAAGTTATGTGTAGAAAGAGAATTTAGAAATTCTCTGAGACTCACCCATAATAACTTCATCATCCTCCACATTTCTTAGGGTCTGAATCTAGAACAACTGTGTCAAAGATTTCACTGCTTACCAGAGAAAATACATAACTTTTAATTTGCATTATAATTGGCATCTTTTATAATTTGAGGATCACTGTACTGTATGTAGCACTGTCCTCCTGTTGTTCATCGATTTTCTCTAGCAGGCCCAGTAACATCTCCATCGTGAGACTTGTTGTTACTGTTTTTGGCATATTTAATACGTCCCAGGTAGCTTGCCAGGCTTTGCTGTGCGGGTGCAATACACTCGGTAGCTTGCTGGGCTCTCTGAGAGGGGTGGAGAAATAGAACCCAGCTCAACCGGGCTGGCTGCGTGCAAGTCAAACGCCCTACTGCTGTGCTATCACTCCAGCCCATTTTATAATTTATAAATATATATTACATATACAATCAATAATTATGTCACGATGTATAATATTGGGACAAGTGCTGAGTTTAAGTATTTAACTTTGACCCATCTTTATCAAGTTTATACCAATACTAGATTGTACCTCGCTACAATAGGTTACCCACAAATTGTTCAAGACTAAATTGACTGGCTACCTTAAAGCAAAATTGGGCTTTAGAACAACAACCCAATGACTCCAACTTTCACAAACACATGAATTAAATAACATAACCCATTGTTTTACCATCAAAGAATCAGAGCTTGTTGAAAATGGAAAAACTTTTTGAATTTCCAATGGCTTTGTGTTTAATTTTCGCCCCAAATTTTCCACCTAAGTAATTGACAGAACATGAACAAAAAAATGTATTTCTCATGATTTTAAACCCACTACTTCAGGGTAAAGCATTTCTTGAGTCTAATTATTTCCCAACTCTGGCTGAACACTAACCGATACTTGGCAAGATTGGTTAGAAAAATATGGACACAGAGGGGTCCCAGTGACAGTTGCTATAGTTCCTAAGCCCCTCAGGAATTTAATGTGCAGTCCAGTCATGGAACCACAAGTCTAATTAGTTTACCTGAGATTTAAGCTACTGTTCTAAATGTGCTCTCTCCAAATACCCACGAATGTAATGTAGCATTGGTAGCACTGCCGTCCAGTCCCGTTGTTCATCGACTTGCTCGAGCAGGCACCAGTAACATCTCCATTGTGAAACTTGTTGTTACTGTTTTTGGCATATCGAATACGCCATGGGGAGCTTGCCAGGCTCTGCTGTGCAGGCAGGATAAAAGGTAAGGTAAAGGCCCTCCCGTTG